TTCTTCAGAACAATGCCCGTAGATGGTCGAAGATCATTTCCTCGATAGTATGTTACTTCTGCAGACTCCAAACATCTCATATTCAACCGAAGAATCCTTCATTTGAATAGCTTTGATTGAGTCTCTTTCGTCACCGAATGTCTGGCATTTCTATATTGCAGTAGAAAGGTATCTACTCCCCTCTCCAGCTCATTAAATGTTGAGGCGGTAATAGAATCAATGGCAGTTTTCAACGTCCTGACAAAATTTTCTGCCCGACTATTAAAACAACGATGTCTGGGAGCAGTTAAAAGATGTTTGCACCCTATACCATTCACCCAGGTAGTAACTGCATCTGCAGCAAAATGAGAGCCATTATCGGTCACTAGCACCATGGGAACCCCTTCTCAACTAAACACCTTTCTTAATGCTTGGATTGCAAAATCAGAATTTGGTGAAGCTGTAAAAAAACTTCAGGCCACTTTGAAAAAGAATCAATGACTACGAGTGCATAATATTTGCCAAGAAACGGACCACAATAGTCTGCGTGAATTCTCTGCCAGGCATCAGATGATACTGGCCATGGAGTCCACTTCGAAGGCTGATTTTTCAAATTATGACATTTTTTACAATCGTTTGCTGTACGACATATATCTGCGTTTATCTCTGGCCACCAACATGTGACCTTGCCAAGGACTTCATTTTCTCAACACCTAAATGACCACTATGATGATTTTCAAGGACATATTTACGCAATGAAGGAGGAATAACAAAACGATCATTTAAAAACAAAATACCATCAGGAGTAGTGGATAGCTCATCCCGCTTTACAAAAGAGACAGAAAATCGACGTTTCAAATTAGCATTCCAGCCTTTCCGTATAGCACTGAGTATACATCCAAAGTATCTACGAGTTTCTCTAATGAGATCTGGACGTCTCACTGGTAAAGGTCGCACTAACAAACAGTCTGAAATATTAACAGATCTATCTTGTAATGACTGTCGAGAAATGTAGTCAACGTGTTGAATTTGTTTGGCACTCCTGTGCTGAACCGTATAGTCGTATGCACTCAAAACAATACTCCATCGTTGAACCATAGCAGCTGAGGAACGTGCTAAGGATTTTTCAGGATGATAAATAAACTTTAAAGCTTCATGATCAGTAACAATAGTGAATTTCTTTCCGAATAAATATTTATGGAGTATTTTAACAGCCCAAAAACACAGCTAATGCTTCTCTCTGAGTCTGTGAATAACCTAGTTCAGTAACAGTAAGTTAGAGTGAAACGCAGATAACTGGTCTACCTTCCTGCTCCAAAACTGCGCCAATACTCACAGGTGGTGCATCCGTAATAAGCACAGAATGTACACTAGGGAGTAAGTTCGAAGAACACCATCACTTTGAAGAAACTTTAGTAGACTTCGTAAGCTCGACTCCTGTTCCTCACCCCATTTGAATGAATTGGATATCAAAATCTTAAATAAACAATTTGCACGATAAGACAAATTAGGAATAAAACCGGAATAGTATTGAAGAGCACCCACTAGTGAACGTAGTTCCGTAAGATTTTTTGGAGACGGTGCACTTGTCAGTGGAGCTAGTCGTTTCATATCTCGTCTAAACCCATTACCATCAACTAGGTATCCAAGGCATTCAAAACTAGATACACAAAATGAACACTTATTTGGATTCACTGTAATATTCTTCTCAATTAAACGACGTAATAAAGCAATAAGTCTCTCGTCATGAACTACCTTATCAGAACCATGAACAATGAGATCATCTTGATAAACGTCAACACCTTCAAGATCACTAACTACATTATTCATAACTTCCTGAAATATGGATGGAGAACAACTTAGACCAAATGGAAGGAAATTGTATTTGAACAGACCAAAATGAGTGTTAATTGTCGTCAAAATAGATGGAGATTGATCTAAAGGGATTTGAAGATAAGCGTCTTTTAGGTCAACTTTTGAGAACACTTTAGAACCATGAAGTCGACTTAGAATATCTTCAGCCTCTACCGTCGTTCACGTTTGCTTCAACAAACGGGAGTTCAGAGTTAATCTATGGTCATCACATATTCTAAGGGTCTTGCCGTCCGACTTCAGTGGTGTAACAATAAGAGTACCCCATGCTGAAGACTGAATCGGTTCAGTTATGCCTTTCGCACACAAATCGTTTAATGTCTTATGTACTGCTTCTCGAAGACCATGAGGAATTACTCGTCTTTTAAGAAAGACTGGATCACCCTGTACTTGAAGTTTTGTAGGCTGAATTATCATGCCTCCACTGCACTTGGCACACGTAGCTATCAAATCTTTAAGTAAAGCATCAGAATTTTCTTTAGAAACTAGGAAAGACAACTCCACCTCAAGCCTTTTCAAATTCCTTAAACCCAGTATTTACAGTCCTGTTTCGCTAACTAAAAATTCACAAGGTATGATGAAGAATTATCATCTCTTATTAGCAATTCACAACATCCTTGTATGGGTAGTCTGTGTCCAGCAATCCCCAATCTTGATACTTCAGTGGGTCATACCACAACGTTAGGATCTAAAGATTTCAAGTTCTTGAATGAAATAATGGACTCTATACTGCCTGTGTCCACAATAAAGTCATGAAATGAACCAAGCGATGTATATAGTCGCTTTTGAATATGAGCATTACCTTTCAAAATAGTAGACAAAGATAAATGATCACTAGAAACATCCAAATTATTGAGATTTAAATGACAAGATTTAGTACTACTTGAAGCGAAATGGACAGTAGCTTTGCATACAGACTGAATGTGTCTGTAGCGGTAAATAAATCTCCAAAATAAATAGCTCTGTAAGTTTTCGACATTGGATGCTGACCATATGTTTTAGTGGACTCATCTAGCTGAAGGCGCTCGGTCATGCATCCGCACCAGAGCACGTGTCGTAACGCTGTGCTCAACATTTATCGCAATCGCTAGTCATATTAGATCAGAGAATCCCGATATATTGGTTATCGCTAAATACACTCTTCCGATCTCTTCGTTTCTGTCTTTTGATTTCTCTCGGTGGGTACAATTTGTATTAGAAGGTGCTGCTGGTAAAAGCGTTGTCAAACACTGAATACCTGCATCATCCTCATGTCCTATCTTACCACATCTAAAACATTTAGCATTACGAAATGCACATAAATTACGAGAATGAAACTTTCCACATGATAAACATTTACCGAACTTCATCTCACCTTTGTAATTTGCTTTGTAATTCCTTGTTGAAACACCTTTCATATTTACACAAGAATAGGAATCACTGTTAAACGAACGCAAGTTTGACTGACCCTGAGATTGTATTTCATCATGACGACTAAGCAAAGTACTAGAAATCTTCATCGACTGGATATCAAGTTCATTCACTTCCTCGTAGTTAATACATGCAGCTATGGCATCTTGAAAGGAACAGTTCGACGTTCTTAACAGATCTCTTACCAAACCCGGTATGTTAATTCCTACAATTAATCGATCTCTCAGTTGCACATGAAGTTCATCACCAAAATTACATTTGGCAGCATGTTTCTGCAATTCAAGGATGAATTACATAAACTTTTGGTCATTTTGACGAAACATCTTATGAAATTTCGCCCTTTCATGGCATTCAAAACCGGTGCACTTTACATAATTTAATAATAGCTCTTTAAGGGTTGTATAAGGAAGTGAGATAGGTTTTTCTGGATATGACAAAGTTTTTAATAAGCTGTGCGCTTCTCTCCCCATGAATGTTAGGAAATGTGCCACAATTTTATCACCTTTAACATCTTTCTTAGTCATGCTCCAAATTTCAAACCTTTACAAATAATCCTCAAAAGCTTCAGAAGTTGATTGGATATCTAACTTTTCCATCGCAGGCTCCATCGCGACGCCAGTATAATGTTTGAAAATATTTGAATTGTAGTGTGAACTAAGAATCCCAGAAATAACGTAATCGGATCAAGAAGTACTAGATAAGCACAAACGAATGTATTGTATTTGGAATTCAAAATCAAGCATTCAACAAGTACAAAGGTATCATTAGTTCATTCAAACACCACAAAAATATATTACGTATAGATATAGGATGCAATGGGATTTCGGAAAGAGATCGAGGACTAAGACTGTTAATCAATTGGCTAATAAAAATTAATTCCACAAGACATTTATTTGACTAATTTTTCGGCGGTACCGTACAAATAAAATCTAAAGTTAAGAACAGTAAAATCAAATCCACTAAATAACATCATACCTAAATGATTAAAGTTGCTATTTATAAACTCTATATCTGTGTTATCAAATGATTTCAGAATTATTTACAGTGAATGTAAAAGCATCAAATTACTACTGATTTTTGTAATGTAGTTCACTTCATGCTTTTAAAATAACTAATGTTTAAATTGAGGTTAAAACTTGATTATAAATAAGGTGTTCTAGTTAAGCAGAGTGGGGATTTGTGCCTTTTATATGTAACGTAACAAAATGTCAACATTTTACTTAATAAAGGTTGGTTTTTTTTAATCTTATCTGATGCCTGACAAATTTTACCCAAAAGTTTATTTGAATAATCATCGATACATCATAAGTACATAAGTACATAAGTACTAAATTATTATCAACTAATAGTAATTAGACATTTTTGTTATGTCTAAATAACTTTTAATTATACACATTATTCAAGTCATATAGATTACTTTTATAAAAACCAACTTATATTGAATCAGATTTGTTTATACATTCCACCTTAAACTGAAATTCATATTTTTAACTTATAAATAAGTAATATAATCAAATTGATAATATTCACATGGTTTATCTGGTTTTTGGATCATTATTCTGCCAATCAAATAAATCCTTGTATGTTCATACATTTTTCAAATTTTTAAACACTTTCAATGACCTAACTAACTATAATTTGTATTTTGAATTAAATTTCAAATACTCAACACTGATTGGTTCATTATTACATTTATAAAAATAATATTCGATATTAATGTATTGAAATAGCCTACCCCAAAAAGTTTTAAAAGTTTAGAATATTACTATTGGATGAATGAAGCTTGACATTTAATGATGAATTTCGTTGTTTTTTGAATGATCTATAATTTCGTTTCAACAAGATACCATCATTTTCAAGTTTCTATACATAAAACATTAGAACATTGTGATAAAGAAATGACACCAAATGATCAAACTAATGGTGAACACAAAACAGTTGATATTTGTGATTTAGTACTTGACTATGTAACACAATTTCCATTTGCTAAAGATGTAAAATCACGTATTAATTTAGATGATGTTCACTCATCTGATATTGATTTTACACGTTTACTTGTTACTCATAAAAAAACAGAATACCTCTTACCAAATATAGTCAATGGTGATACCAAACAAAGTATTGCAGTGCCACCAAAGACTTTACCGCCAACTCTCAAAAAAGATCTTAAAAGCCATGTTCTATTCTCATCTATATTTACAAACAAAACAAGTGAAACACAGACAAATCATTTAAGAACTGAACGTCGAACAAGTTCATCTTGTCGACTTAGTTTACAAAAGGTTGTTACAAAGGGTGGAAGTATAAATTTGCAAATAGGACCACCAAGTATGTCTGTGCAAGCTAACGGGGGTTTTCGACGTGAAATAACAATGTCTAAGGATATGGAAGAAGTATTTGAAGAGGAATTAACCTGGACATTAGATACAGAAGTGAGTATAATGGTCGGTATGTTTGTATATTTAACAATTTATCTCATTTTAAAGTAAAAAGCATGATTTTAACAAAGCCTTCAGTAATGTCAAATTTTTCAAAAACTGTAGAAGAAACATGTATAATGTATCCAACCACAAAACACTGTGCTCAGTCACAGGCGACAGTGAATCGGATGACAGATTGTCTTTCAGTAGTAACTAGGATACATTTTGTGATTACGTCAATATCTACATTTACGCATTTACTTAATAGAAGTCACATTTAAGATATGAGATTATTGGTATTTAGTCTTAAACATATATAGAACGATATCATTATGGTATTATCGCTAAGTTAACAAACAATTAAATAAATTGATGATGAATATATATACTAATTCCCACGGTAGTTCATTTCAGTAAAATAGAAACAACATCAATATAATATATAATATAATATATAATATAATATAATATAATATATAGTATGTAATATATAATCTGATGTACGTTCTACTAAAAGAATATCATGGATATTTCCTTTCATTTTCAAGTTATGAATTATCTGTTTAAAATACTAGAAGGTGCTAGATTTTATAAATTTTCAAAACAGTTTGTTGTTAAATTTCCTTTAAAAAAGTGACCTACATGTTTACTTACATGTTAAGTTAAAAAAAGCAATACATTGGATGAGTTTAAGTCATCTAGTATATATACAAGCTCCATTAAGTAGAAGCGGGATTCTCTCACAATCATGCTGGTTATTTTTCTATTAAGTGATTCAGTTTTTGAAAAAAAAAACCTAGACAGCTTAAAATTACTATTGAATTTAGTGCTTCCTTATGGGTTTTCGAAGACTCAGGTTTTTTTCTTCATCAAGAGCTAACGTTGCCGGATAAACTACCGATGTAGTGAACAGAACACGGGTGAGGACAATCGAATGTACTTAACACAAAATTACAGGACTTGTTAATAAAATTTAACAATCATAAAGCAAATGCTTAATTTGCAAAATGTCCACCAATTTTCTCAAAATGACTCAGACTTCATTGTTCTTGCATTTCTATACAAATTGCATCCTGTTTCCATTCTTTACTGTTCGATCCTTTTGCCTCTCTGCTGCCAGACCTTCTGTTCACGACTAACATCATATACTACTTATGTCAATATAAGTAGCACACATCACACTAGAACCTAAAGAGTACTAAACAAAGGTCTCATTCGCGTTTGAGACTTCCCAACACTGCTCATTAGCGATCTCATTAAATATTGAATAAAGCACCTTGTTTTCCAGTGATCATGGTACTTGAGACAAATAAATTAAAATCTAATGGTCCAGATTTCCAAACTCAGTCAATTTGCTATATGATGTAATCTTCATCCAATGTTAGTTGTGAGTTGTCGTATCAGTAAGATCACAGTTTCACACCAAAACTTCCATAAATCTGTTTCGGATTTGGTTTGTTGCTTCTTGTGGTTTACGATTCTCTAACTTAGATTACTTTGAGATGGAAATTTACTCAGTAGTACATATATAAATATCTTCAGCATGAATATCTAGTGTATTCATAAAGCAAGTCATTCAATTGAACATATAGTTTTACCTTAGAAATATGTGAAATAAAAAATCACATTATAAAACATTTTTTCAACACATGTCAATAAATGTTAGGGAAAGTAATTAAAGGCAACTGGAACAGTTACTGTTCCACCAAATATCATGTCTTAAAGATTGAAAACTAGAATAAATGAGTATGGGGATGTGTGGAGATTGTAGTATTCCCACAGTTGAATTCACGAGTTGATCTAAGCTAGATCAATGTAATTCACTACATAATTAACAGTCAGTCTCAATATAGTCTAGAATGTGATGTTTTAATGCAAAGCCTGCCAATTAGTTGAAAATTAACACAGCTAATCAAGTTATGTAACTAGACTATGTCAAGTAATATACTAAATGAGCCCATATCCCAGTAGAGAATTATGAGTTTGATCCTCGAAATCAGCAACAAAAGACTGAGAATCCCTACAACGATGTAGTTTCTAGCTCTGTTTCTGATTTTCCCTACAAATATTTTGTATATGTAATTATGTTTCTATACTTCTATCTGTTGTTTCCACTACTCCAGTCAATGGATAAGCATTTTGCCTCTAGTTCATCCTGAAAAGCGTAGAAACAAAATGATATGAAAAAACTCAACTTATCAACTAGCAGCTGTCTATAATCTGCCAGTGTTTAGTTTTAAAACAAGATAATTTCAACATACTTTAATTCATCTTAAGACTAACTTGTAATTCAATTAAAGATTTGGATAGTCTAACAAAGTATTTTAGAAATTCAAATATCATTGAGCATATTGGATAGGATTTTATTTCGCTGAATACTCATAGAAACTTGTGCTGCAAAAAAGATATTGTGTTACTTAAACTCAAACACTATGCAAGTTAGTGTATAGGGATTCGAAGTAACAAAAGTGATTTATGATGTGAGGGTAAATCATTTATTCATCTTGAATGTGTTAACGAAGAGAAAGTAGTGAAAAACTTAACTTCTTTCAGAATGTTCCAAAGTAGTGACTTATCGACAATACATTCACTCGTTGGATTTTGGGTTAGTTCAATTTTTATAAGGTTTACAAAAGCTTTAGCTACCAAAAATTGAAAAACAGTCTTGTGCCTGAAAATAAACAGTCCACATTATTTCCATGTCTGTTTATTTTAAAATATCCCTTTTATTTGATCACCATCATCTTTCGATTAAAATTAGACATAAATAAGTATACTCAGAAGTTGCGTTTACTTTAGTTAGTATCCCTGAGTAGTATTTTCTGGTCAATCATACTGCTTAACAATCTAGTCTGTAAGGAAACAAGTGAAAGGATAAGTTTCAAAGTGAAATGGTTGGCAAGTTGGATTTTAACTTTTATAATTTCTCTTGTTTAAGTAAGCTTTTAAAAGCCAAACTTTACCGTGAATATTAATCCCCTTGGTTCCTAACGATTTAGAACTGAAAAAGCTCAAAAACGTCACATCAACCTAATCATTTGTGATCACTTTAACCTTGGTGTATCACAGAGATAAATAATTTCGCGCCGAAATCCAAGACATTATATCGTAAATCTGATTGATTCGTCCATAAATTATAGTTTCGCTTTGTCTACCGTTTTCATTAGAAATTATGCATGTATGGAATTCACTCACATTATGGTTAGTTGTGAACATCAACAATAATACCATTTATTCTTCTCCCCCATAAATGGTCTCATTATTATCAAATATGAAGCATATAAACGAATCCATACTCACTGAATATTCGAACAAACCTATTTGACAATATGCATACCAATTTTTAGCTAAACTCAACTGAAAAAACTTGGACGTCAACACACCAGACGTCAATCTACTAATCTTGATTTCAGCGACTGTCAACTCCACCTTCAACCAACTAGTATTATTGTGTCATATTTATTGTCTATTATATCGAATATTAATATTTCCTATCAAACGCAAAAAAGAGAACGTGGAAAATAGTGTAAAGTTTAAAGTAAAAAAGCCAGACTCCGGTTAATGCAGCCATAATCAATATTTCTGGGTGACCTAGAAACTTTGACTAAAACAAGCTAAGATATTTGCCTCAAAAACATGATTACACAGTCTACAATGATTCACAACTATTTCATCTTTCGTAAGTGTTCAATTACTCTAAATTGAGATACCGAGCAGATATGTACAATTACATAACACTCATGGGCTACTTATTATTATAATTATCGAAATGAATTTTACAATAATCTCAGTATTAAAATTCCAAATGCAAACATTTATGCATTGTAGTGTCACTAAATTAATGATGAAAAATGATCGATTCTCTATATACAGCCTGGTAATGAAGCTAAATAATAAATAAATTTCCCAGTTCATTTCGACGATGTTTATATCAAAAAATTAAGTGACTTAACCTTTAATATTAAACAAATAGTAAAATACTTGGATAATTTAACAAATTTCAAGTTAACAGTGAAATCCAATTGATTATAAGAGTTCAAGATTACTCAATGAAATAGAACTTTTGAGAACATTTATACATAAGAATTCTAATATATTAATTTAATTGCTTTTAAGAGGCTTCAGTACTCATTTTCAGAACAATTCAGTAATCAGATATTGTTTAAACTCGAAGAAATAAAAAACATCAATGTGTTTACATATTCTCTTGTGTTGTTGCTGTATATTAATGAGTACAGATCGATCTACGTTCATGAAGTTACACTCCATGTAGAATATTAAGCAGTCAAGTATACAGTATATTTATTTACATTGTTTCTGAAAATATATGAATGTGTGGTAAGAAAAACTGACAGATGAGAAAGTGGATTAGCGGCACGCCTACCATAATCGTACTTGGCTTTTGTTAACTTTTGCAATACTTAGCAAATGAATAATGGACCTTGGCCAATCGAAGGGCGAATATATTTCCTAACAGTTTGCTTAGTAATACTTAATGGTTATAAATCATTATCTTTGAACGTTAATGACATGAATACGTGTGGAGCGTTTAAAGCACTCATTGCATATTTTGCGACCATGGAATGAGTAGTTCTAAGCACGACTTGGCGTACTCCATAAAAATGGCTAACTGGTTGATAGAAGCTGTGAAACGTCATCAAATAGGTCACTAGCCACTACTTAACCCTTATGCTAGAAGTTCACTAGCTTACAAGTGAGTTGTAAGAAAATAGGGACAGATGGACATAGCACCAGTTCATCACGTCGCTAACCTTTGAAATGAACCTTGTTGGTAAATATAGTCTAAGCGGTCGAGGTCATTTATGATGGCAGACTTTAGGTGATGACTCAAAATATGTTGCACAGAGTTAAACATATTTATTCCTTATCTTCCACTAAATCTTGAAATTTTTTCCTCTTTCAACCCGTTTATTCCCTAGCTCTGTTCGTCATTCCCAATTTATGTTATATATTTTCACTCTTCATCATCATGGATAGTACTGTTTTGACTT